AGAGTTTGAGCAAAATGTAATTACTTTGTGTGGACGTATCAAAATTCTTTCAGTCAAGATTTTTTGTTCCATCTACTAGATAACACACTCATATGACTAATGATATTTAATTTGTTATCTTTTTCGCCTTGTTTCAAAACTTGGAGGATTAGCTTATAACATTTTGTTGAGTGTATGGCCCTGAATATTAATTTGAGTAATGTTAGATGGTGTAAGGATTAAATGTCGATGAAAAAATTTGGATAGTAATTGGATGGTGAACATAATCATTGTCTATAATTAGTATTGTGACCATATTTCATCCTATATATGGGTATCATGAAATGCATTTGGGCATAATCCAAATACCCACTCTAGATTTGAAGGCGAAATTGTGAGCGAAACAAGCACAATTTGTTGTTATGGTTTCATTATGTTAAAATGAGATTGAAAATTCTCAAAAATAGGTAGCTACTTGCTTATTGTTTGACGGTGGTTAAGTAGTTATTTAACAATAAAAAGAATCATCAAATAACTATCAAGTGTTAGAATCAACAATAATACTGAATACATCTTTTTGGGGGTGGAGAAAGGCCCATAGTGAAGTTAAAATCTTAACAAAACTATAAAAGTTTATCCTAAAGCTTTCTCCCTATTTACCCTATGGACCCCAAATCATTTTGGCTTTATGATCGCGAGTGTTCCCATCTTCGAGAGTTTTCGACGATCAATACTCTTAAACCAACTCTTGTAGAAGTAAAATAAATAAAATAATAGTATAATCTGTTATTTGGTTTAACAAAAATAGTAAAAAATAACTGAAAACATAAAATGTTTACTTGCAAACTGAATAACCCGAAACGGTTTGGGTTTGGATGGGTTATTTAGCTTCAGAATTTTTTGCACATTTAGGTGTGCCCCTAATCACCTAATTTTTAGATGCACCACTTTGTTAATGTATCAAAATTCAGAAGGTTGTAAGCTTTTTGAGTAGAATTCAAAAAGCTAAATGCCTTCTAAATGCTACCTATGTTTTTTTTATTAACCTGGATATCCAACACGCTATGCGAGTCGACTAATCCTAAATCGACCACTTGCTTTGCAGATAGCCCGGAGTTACCGCATTTGAACCTCCGTGGCCACAAGATATTTTTATTCCTCATTGGATTTGAACTTGAGACCTCCTAGTACTTTTGACCTTTGGAGCCAAGCTCAAACCAGTCAGGCACCACCCTTGTGATTAATGCTACTTATGTTGTGTTCTCGAATTTGGGGAGAAAAAATGGAAAGAGAAGAAAAGGAAAAGAAAATGATTTTTTTATTTGTGTTCTTGAGAGGGAAGAAAAATGAAAGAAAATAAAAGAAATTTTCCTGGTTTTGAACTCGAGAGAAATGAAAAGAAAAATGTCATTATTACAAATATACCGTTTAAAAATATATATTATTTAGGAGGAAAGATAGAGTGGATTTTAATTATTCCTCCTACATTTGGAAGGAAAGTTTTTGAAGGAAACTTATCATTATTTTTGTTCCCTTTTCTTTCCTTCCTCCCCTAAAACTGTTTTAAGAACACTATTTGTTTTACTTTCTTCTCTTTTCCCACTTTTTCCTTTCCGTTGTAAAAAATGTTTTGAGAACACAACATTAATGAATACCTTCAATGGGCACTGCCCCTAAAACTCCACACAAGGGGGTGTATCCCCTTAACCTGTATCTTATAGATCTTAGGTTCACAATAGCTTATACGAGCTTTCACCTCCTTACTCATATATAGTTTAACAAATAATTAAACCTTATTGATGTTATATAAATCAAAATTACACTCGATGATAAACCTAAGGTTAGTATAATAGAGTTTGTTGTCTTTCTTTACTCCCCTGTATCCATTAAAATACATTCATAGAACCTTATGACATTGTTGTTCACCCAAAATGGTTATAAGAACAAGTAATTCAACAATAATGCAACAATGAATCAAAACAGTCGGTTGTCTATTGATCAAATGATGAATACAGTGTTTGCTTTGACAAAATCGTCGCTTTCGAAAATGATTGCTAATGATTGGAATAAAAAGCTTAACTTATTCTAGAAAATAGGAAATCTATTTATACCTTGACGATATTTACATATTTAGTCCTTCCACTTTATTACAACCAAAATAATAAACTAACATTCTCCCCCATTGTAATGAAGTAGCTTTATACAAATCTTCTTCTTCTCGGTCCGAGGACAAAGTACGTCTCGAATCTTCTTAGTATACTCTGGTACTCCAGTTTTTTGTAAATTAGATCCGAAGAATTAACCATCGGGTTTTTGTCGTGAGGATTGAGCTTATCAAGACCTTTTCTTTCTAGATCGAGCTTGCTTGACAACTTCAGTTTGATATGCTTTATTGTTCCATCAAAATAAGTTGCTAGATCGTTGAATCTCATGATCTTTTTCTTACCGATGTTGTTGGAGTACACGATCCCAAACTGAGGCTACTCTACGATCAGGAACAAAGGCAGGGACTCTATGTCTTCAAGACTCTGATTTGGCTTTAGCAGGTTCACCCTCTGTTGATTACTTTTGATGCCCATCTACAGATCTGTGACGTACCCGAGCATTATCTGACGGTGCATGAAACGCTAAGTAGCTTTTAGAGCTATCTACACGTCTTCCAGTCTGATAGTCCTGTTACGCATATCCATGTATGTTGGGTCACTTATTGATTTGGTGATGACCCACTGATCTGTTCCTCTACCTTAGCAACACTTAATAGTTATTGGTTCTTTGTAAGTTGGTGTCTTGGTACATACTTTAAAGCCATTGGCAAAATCGAAGACTAGCCGATGTGAAGACAGAAGGTCACCGATGCGGTGTTGTGGATCAACTGTCTAATATACACACCAAGACTCCGAAGTAGCTGAAATGTATATTGAAAATATTTTGAAGCTACAAGCCGATTGAAGGAAGATCTTCATAGACCGAAGA